GGTTTTCAGATAACTTGCACTACTGCAGAGCTTGCATTCAAGTAACCTTTATTTTATTTAGTAGTGGCCCCAAAGTGCAATAGTAGTGATTTTGGCAATTGGGATATGCTGAAGAGAAGCTGTAAAGTGCTTCCTTTAAGTGAAAAGATGAAAGTTCACAAGGAAATTTTTAAAATTGTTTTTAAATCATATATTGAAGTTGCTAAGATTTATAGTAAGAATGAATCTTCTGTTGTGAAATTGTGGAGAAGGAAAAAGAAATTCATGCTAGTTTTGCTGTTGTACCTCAAACTGTAGAAGTTAAAGCCACAGTTCATAAGTGCTTAGTTAAGATGGAAACAGCATTAAATTTATGGGTAGAAGATGTGAACAGAAATGTGTTGCAGTTCAGTACTATCCATGGTTTTAGCCATTCACCACATTTAGAATGTATCCCCCTGGGACTACTGTGTGGTTTGTGTTGCAAACATTTTATTTTCTACCAGGCTGATTTTTCTTTTTTTTTTTTTTTTTTTTTTTTGAGACGGAGTTTTGCTCTTGTTACCCAGGCTGGAGTGCAATGGCGCGATCTTGGCTCACCGCAACCTCCGCCTCCTGGGTTCAGGCAATTCTCCCTGCCTCAGCCTCCTGAGCAGCTGGGATTACAGGCACGCGCCACCATGCCCAGCTAATTTTTTGTATTTTTAGTAGAGACGGGGTTTCACCATGTTGACCAGGATGGTCTCGATCTCACGACCTCGTGATCCACCCGCCTCGGCCTCCCAAAGTGCTGGGATCACAGGCTTGAGCCACCACGCCCAGCCCTTTTTTTTTTTTTTTTTTTTTTTTAGAAGGAGTTTCACTCTTGTTGCCCAGGCTGGAGTGCAATGTGATCTTGGCTCACTGCAGCCTCCCAGGTTCAAGTGGTTTCCTGTCTCAGCCTTCTGAGTAGCTGGGATTATAGGCATATGCCACCACACCCAGCTAATTTTGTATTTTTAATAGAGACAGGGTTTTACCATGTTGGTCAGGCTGGCCTTGAACTCCTGACCTTGTGATCCACCCATCATGGCCTCCCAAAGTGCTGGGATTACAGGCATGAGCCACCGCACCCGGCCTAGGCTGATTTTCAATGCTGTGTTTTTCAAGAAACCATGATATGTTTCTCCATTTCTTCAGGTCTTTAAAAAAAGATCTATTTTAATGAATTTTTACAGATTTCTTCTTACATGTCTTTCATGTTTCTTAAGTTTATTCCTATTTGATTTTTTTTAACTGGGAAAGTAGGATTTAAAAACTTAGTATTATACTATTTTCATTTTCGACATGAGAGAAAGCTAGCTTCTTTCTTTACATATATTGTACCCGACTACTTAACTCTGTTCTATTTTCTGTATACTCTTCTCTGTAAGTTTGCCTATAGTTATCTTTGTTCTGAAAGAGAGGGAATTATTTATTCTTCTTTTTTCTGACTAGTCTCTTGTTTTTAGGGCTCTGGACATGGGATTGTGCTAGGAGGGCTATAGCTGAATAGAGGCATGAGATATAATCTTTGAGGCCTTGCAAGGGAACATCACCACCAAATAATCTTATTTCTGTGGGAAATGTTGTTCTGAATGCCAAAGTCCAAATGACAAAAGACTTTTTGAATGAACTAGATTTGGGCTACCTTTAGATTGTAGACTGCTTTTAAAATTATGGAATCTATTTGAATTTCAGGAGCGTGAGGATCATCCCCGGAGAGGACGGGAGGATCGGCAGCACAGGGAACCATCAGAACAGGAACACAGGAGAGCTAGGAACAGTGACCGGGACAGACACCGGGGCCATTCCCACCAAAGGAGAACATCTAACGAGAGGCCTGGGAGTGGGCAGGGTCAGGGACGGGATCGAGACACTCAGAACCTGCAGGCTCAGGAAGACGAGCGGGAGTTTTATAATGCCAGGCGACGGGAGCATCGCCAGAGGAGTGATGTTGGTGGCGGTGGTAGTGAGTCTCAGGAGTTGGTTCCTCGGCCTGGTGGCAACAACAAAGAAAAAGAGGTGCCTGTTAAAGAAAAACCAAGCTTTGAACTTTCTGGGGCGCTTCTTGAGGACACCAACACTTTCCGGGGTGTAGTCATTAAATATAGTGAGCCCCCAGAAGCACGTATCCCCAAAAAACGGTGGCGTCTCTACCCGTTTAAAAATGATGAGGTGCTGCCAGTCATGTACATACATCGACAGAGTGCATACCTACTGGGTCGACACCGCCGCATTGCAGACATTCCAATCGATCACCCATCTTGTTCAAAGCAGCATGCAGTTTTTCAATATCGGTAAGTAACATGGAGGAAGAAACTTTAATGTGAGCAGAAACAATCACTGGGTTCGTTAGGATTACTAAGATTTTTGTTCATGTTTATGCAGAAGAATCCCATACCCCTCCTATCTTCTCTAAAGAGTATTGTTAATTTAACTAATTCCTTTAAATAATTGCTTATATATTTATAAGAACATTAAACTTTTATTTTTCATTTCTTTGAGATAAGATTTCACTCTGTCACCCTGTCTGGAGTGCAGTGGTGCTAACACAGCTCACTCTAGTGGCAACCCCCTGGGCACAAATAATTGCCTCCTGCCTCAGCCTCCTGAGTAACTGGGACCACAGGCATGTGCCTCTGTGCCAGCTAATTTTGAACCTGGATCTTGATAGCTTGCATGGGACATCTGTGATGATTCTTACAACAATCCTGTGAGAAGGATAAGGCAGGTTTTTGTTTCTTTGTGTGTTGGGGGTTTGGGGGTTGAGACGGAGTTTTGCTCTTGTCGCCCAGGCTGGAATGCAATGGTGCGATATCAGCTCGCTGCAACCTCTGCCTCCCGGGTTCAAACAATTCTCCTGCCTCAGCTTCCCAAGTAGCTGGGATTACAGGTGCGTGCCACCATGCTTGGCTAATTTTTATATTTACTTTAGTAGAGATGGGGTTTCCTCATGTTGGCCAGGCTGGTTTCGAACTCCTGTCCTCAAGTGATTCACCCGCCTTGGCCTCCCAAAGTGCTGAGGTAACAGGTGTGAGCCACTGCACCCAGCAGGTTTGTTTTGTTTTGTTTTTTGTTGGTGGTGGTGGCTTTTTTTTTTGAGACAGGGTATTCTTCTGTCACCCAGGCTGGAGTGCGGTGGTGCAGTCTCGGCTCTGCAACCTCTGCCTCCTTGGGTTCAAGCAATTCTCGTTCCTCAGCCTCCTGAGCAGCTCGGACTACATGAATGTGCCACCATGCCCAGCCAATTTTTGCATTTTTAGTAGAGACAGGGTTTCACTATGTTGTCCAGGCCGGTCTTGAACTCCTGACCCCTCATGATCCACCCACCTTAGCTTCCCAAAGTGCTGGGATTACAGGCTTGAGCCACCACACCTGGCCGTTTTTGTTTTTTTTGTTGTTGTTTTTTTGTTTGTTTGTTTTTGGAGATGGAGTCTTGTTCTATTGCCTAGCAGTCTCAGCTCACTGCAGTCTTCACCTCCCAGGTTCAAGGTTCAAGCGATTTTTCTGTATCAGTCTCCCTAGTAGCTGGGACTACAGGCATGCGCTGCCATGCCCAGCTAATTTGTATTTTCAGTAGAGACGGGGTTTCACCATACTGGCCAGGCTGGTCTCAAACTTCTGACCTTGTGATCCCCCCATCTTGGCTTCCCAAAGTGTTGAGATTACAGGCACAAGCCACTGTGCCTGGCCCATTTTTTTTTTTTAACATGGCCGCCTGACTTTGAATGGACAAGTATTTATATCCCCATTTGACAGATGAGAAAACTGAAGCCCAGCAAAACCAAGTGACTTGCCTAATAAATGATTGCTATAGTACAATGGACCCCAACCTTTTTTGTACCAAGGACCAGTTTCGTGGAAGACAGTTTGTCCATGGATCAGTGGAGATGGTTTTGGGATGACTGAAGCACGTTACATTTACTGTGCACTTTATTTTCTGTTATCACATTAGAATGTATAATGTAATAGTTACGTAACTTACCATAATCTAGAATCACTGGAAGCCCTGAGCTTGTTTTCCTGCAGTTAGGCAGTCCTGTCTGGGGGTGATGGGAGACAGTGAGAGATCAGGCATTAGACTCATAAAGAGCACACAACCTAGATCCCACCTGTACACAGTTCACAATGGGGTTCACGCTCCTATGAGACTCTAATGCCATCGCTGACCTGACAGGAGGCAGGGCTCAGGCAGTAATACAAGTGATGGGGAGCAGCTGAAAATACAGATGAACCTTGGCTTGCTTGCCTGCCGGCCCACTGCTCACCTCTTGCTGTGTGGCCCAGTTCCTAACAGGCCACAGTCCCTGGCCCCGGAGCTGAGGACCCCTGCCGTAGTAGAACTCTGCCTCAAATATAGCTCCCTTGACTCTGAAGTCTAAGTCCACTTTTTTTTCCCATTTGGACAGGAACTAAAATATATTGAAATATAGGTTAAAGAAACATTATATTGTTTATAAACGACAGGAAAAACATATTTTGTTTTGTTTTGTTTTTTTTGAGGCGGAGTTTCGCTCTTGTTACCCAGGCTGGAGTGCAATGGCGCGATCTCGGCTCACCGCAACCTCTGCCTCCTGGGTTCAGGCAATTCTCCTGCCTCAGCCTCCTGAGTAGCTGGGATCACAGGCACGTGCCACCATGCCCAGCTAGTTTTTTGTATTTTTAGTAGAGACGGGGTTTCACCATATTGACCAGGATGGTCTTGATCTCTTGACCTCATGATCCACCCACCTTGGCCTCCCAAAGTGCTGGAATTACAGACATGAGCCACCGCGCCCGGCCAAAAAATGTGTTTTCTTAACCACAGCAAGAGACATTGGATTCTTCATTTTTACCTTTTGATCTACTATGCCCACCCTCCGGCAAACCATTCTCACCTTTTCTGCTAAGTATATGTAAATTCCCAATTTCCCTTCCCAGGGCCATGCTTTTCCTTTGATTTATTTGATTCTCAGAATTTTAATTTTAACTGTGGTCAAGCCAGGTTTGTTTTTTTTTAGTCTCCGTAGAGACTGTCAAAGATTGCCAATGCTGACTATATTTCAAGTTGTTGCGAGGTATTAGGAAAAGTTTTCAATTAGCAATAATCATGCCTCAGATAAACCTCATTGGCTACGATACTGCCACTGCGCAAAAGCTCAAGCCAGGTTGTTTACGTCATCTAGGCTGTTTTAACAAAGAGGTTTAAAGAGGCTGGATGATCTGAGGCAGGACTTTGCTCACAGGTTTCTCTCCTTTTTCTCTGCTAGGCTTGTGGAATATACCCGGGCTGATGGCACGGTTGGCCGAAGAGTGAAGCCCTACATCATTGACCTTGGCTCAGGCAATGGAACCTTCTTAAACAACAAACGTATTGAGCCCCAGAGATACTATGAACTAAAAGAAAAGGATGTACTCAAATTTGGGTTCAGTAGCAGAGAATACGTCTTGCTCCATGAGTCCTCAGACACTTCTGAAATAGACAGGAAAGACGACGAGGATGAGGAGGAGGAGGAAGAAGTGTCTGACAGCTAGCAAACTAAGAACACAGACTGAGACACCTTTTCCTTCTTGGAAGGCTTTGATTGACTCAGAGAGCCATGGTGCTCTCTGTAATGCCTCTTATTGCCTTAACTCTTTTCCTGTGTTGCTGACCCGATTGTGTTACCATTTAAATTCACTGACTAATGTTTGTTAAATTTTTTTCTGTGGCACATTGGCCACATGCCTGCAGGCATTTGTTTTCAAAACAGTCTCACCAATTACAGCACATTGTGTTTTAGTAGAAGCATTGTGGTTTTAGTTGGTGTTTTCGGAACTGCTGCTTAGGAAACTATGAACCCTTGGTTAAGGGAAAATCGTGGCTTGTTCTCTTTGTACAGTTACTTTATTTATATAGATGTTAAAATTTCTGGACCAGGTGTTTTTCTTCTGGGGCAAACCCCTGAGCAGAGAATCTTACTAAGCTTTGGTTGTCACCAAACAACCTCCAGTATATACCAAAGCTTTGACCTGGTTGAGGTCTTGAGCGTAGAAGTTGATTTTGCACTTAGTGTTTTGGGGGTGGGAATGTACGCAGTCAGTAAGCATTATTGACTCTTAAACAGATGCTTTATGGCACCTGCTTAATTAAGCCCATGACTGTACAGAAGGATCGTGGTTGCCACCAGTGGGTGCTGATTCAGTGTCGCAAGTGACTGAAATTGGCCATGGATCTGTTCTTTGAGAGAATTCCTGATTTCTCCATGGAGGATGTACATAACAATTTTGATCATATTAACTGTGCTTCAGTTTTATGTTTTTATTCAAATGTTACCTGCTTTTTTTCTCTCTGAGAAATACACTGTCACTGATGTGACAGGGTCTTACTTTAATAACGTGTATATGTCTAAAGCAGGTTGTGTTGTTTACATGTTTCTACACATTTCGTCCTTTAAAAAATTGTTCAGAGAGGTTGTATTTACCTTCCCAAGGCTGGAAAGTAGGGGAATTTCCTAGTTCCCTAGTTTTCCACCAGAGGAATATGTGTAAGTAGAAAAGTATTAGCTGCTTACATATAGTGTGTATGTATGTATGTATATATGTAAATTGTGTGTTAAAGAGCTGATACTGATTTTCATATGACAATGTTAGGCAAAGGCCTCCCTGCATTTGAAGAGCAGGTTTTCATTTACATGTATTTTTGGGATAAAAAGTAATAAAATTTGTAAATATAGCCCCATTTCAAAGAGTAATGTTTTCCTAGCATAGAGGAACTATGTTCATAGGTCTGTTTGCTGCTAATGGAGCCTTCTGTCAGTACTTTTGAGATAAAAATAGGTAGCTGTTTAGAGTCTTGTGGGGCAGGTGTGTGGCCTCCAAGTCAGTGGAATGCCAGATGGTGACTTGGGGTGTGTTGGGGGAAGGTCATCTAATGATTTAATAAGGTTATTAGATGAAAGGTAAGTTGGGTCGGGCACGGTGGCTCACGCCTGTAATCCCAGCACTTTGGGAGACCAAGGTGGGTGGATCATCTGAGGTCAGGAGTTCAAGAACAGCTGGGCCAACATTGTGAATCCCCATCTCTACTAAAAATATAAAAATTAGCTGGAGATGGTGGCAGATGCCTGTAATCCCAGCTCCTCAGGAGGCTGAGTCAGGAGAGTTACTTGAACCCAGGAGCTGGAGGTTGCAGTGAGCCGAGATTGTGCCACTGCACTCCAGCCTGGGCAACAGAGCCAGACTCCATCTCAGGGGAAAAAAAAAGTTGAAGGATGTGTTTTATATTGGCCACTGTAACTGCTATTTTCTTCATTTTGGTATATGCCGTAGATCATATATATGTGCTTGTCTGAAAAGTAGGTTTTGTTTTGATGAACTTTTCTTGTGATACAGACTGGTTTTCTCTTGAGGATTTAAGCACTGAGCTGGCATCTAACTCTAGGACCTCTTTGCTCAGTTTGTGCTACAGTAGCACTGCTTTGTGGTAGCCTTGGGTTTTGCTACAAACGTCATCCTGGTGGGCACTATGATAGATGGCCACTTTGCCTACATTTTTCAGTAAGAAGTCCTAATTGTTGAGTCAGTTTTTGCTTTAGTGGAGGAATGTCGTCCTGGGTTAGGAAATTCTTTATACCACATATCGGAGAAGGTGTTTTTTGGTCTTGTTTTCCCTTCCCCTCTTTCTTTGAAGAAAGCATGTCAAAAGACAGTACCCGCCTCTACAGCCAGATATCACCAGCGGACTTCTTATTTGATTTGATATAACCCTAAAGCTTTCTTCTCGAATTAAAATTCATTCTGTTTAGAAGCTCATGTTCATCTTGGCTATTTGAAACTTATTCATTCTCTATCTTTTCTCCACTGTGGCTGGCTTGTCTGTACATCATTGTGTCAAAATCAAACTATTTTCAAAACAGCCCTTTGCTTCTGAGCCCCTCCCCTGAGTCCTCTGTGGGGGTCCACAGTTCTGCAGAGGTATGGGACAGAATCTTCAGATTTTCCCCTTTGAGTTCCTTCCTAATCATATCCTGGTTCCCTCATTCTTTTTTTTTTTTTTTTTTTTGAGACGGAGTTTCGCTCTTGTTACCCAGGCTGGAGTGCAATGGCGCGATCTCGGCTCACCGCAACCTCTGCCTCCTGGGTTCAAGCAATTCTCCTGCCTCAGCCTCCTGAGTAGCTGGGATTACAGGCACGCACCACCATGCCCAGCTAATTTTTTTGTATTTTTAGTAGAGACGGGGTTTCACCATGTTGACCAGGATGGTCTCGATCTCTTGACCTCGTGATCCACCCGCCTCGGCCTCCCAAAGTGCTGGGATTACAGGCTTGAGCCACCGCGCCCGGCCTGGTTCCCTCATTCTAACATTGACAAAGGATGGCTCATTAAGTGCAACTGGTGATGTAACTTTCAAATACTTTTATTGTGTATGTCAGGTTGATTCTCATTTGATACAGTGCACAGATGGTTGTTTTGTTTTTTTTTTTTCCACATCCTTCCCATTGTGGAAGTTAGTTGCGGCTCTGAGGAACAAAATGATGTCATGTTAATCGGAATCTAAATGTGACACAAACAACGTGCTGGCAATGCCTGCTTGTGAAATAATGTTCTGAGCCCATAGTGTTCCTGGGTATGTGAGTTTATATCAAGTGAAAAGGCTGCTTAATTGAAACAGGTTTTGAAATATAAAGCTTCATTTGGTCTCTTGGGTAAAATTTCTAGTATATTTATCAAATGGGAAACTTTTAAAAGCAGTTGATGTGTTCACATTTACTCTAAATTAATCCAGTCAGCAATAGTTGCATACGTTTATGCAGTTGGTTTACAGCTGTTAAGTTAGAACGGGAGCAATATCCGGGTGTGGTGGTATGTGCCGGTAGTCCCAGCTACTCAGGAGGCTGAGGCAGGAAGATCACTTGAGCCCAGGAGTTCGAGACCAGCCTGGGTGATAGAGTGACACCTCATCTTTAAAAAAAAAAAAAGAAAAAAGGAAAACAAATAATTTGGAGGTGGGCTCCACCTTGTGGAATAGATAACAGTTGAGGCATACCTTAGAAAATAGGTTGGTTGTGAATCAGTAGTAAAGGAGGACATTGGGGCAGACTGAGAGTCCAGAGACTAGCAGGTCTGCAGTGGACCGTGGAAAAGACCACATAAATGACGTTGTTTACCTAAAGTCCCACAGCAAGTCAGTGGTAAACCTGGGATGAGAAATCACCTCAGTCCTGCCTCAGTGATCTTCCTACTGGACTGTTCCTACCTGCAGAGCTTAGCAGAGAGATTTAAGGAAAGAAAAAACCACTGATTCATTAGGCTGTCTGATTCATAAATAGGGGGTTTAAGGAACTCACAGGAGGTGGGACTCTGTGCCATGGCGAATGGCTCGAGCAAATCCTTACCTCACCAAGTCACAGCTAGAGCTGCTTGGAAATCATCATATTGGTTCATAAAAATAGACCAATAGTGGCCGGGCACGGTGGCTCCAGCCTGTAATCCCAGCACTTTGGGAGGCCGAGGCGGGTGGATCACGAGGTCGAGAGATCGAGACCATCCTGGTCAACATGGTGAAACCCCATCGCTACTAAAAATACAAAAAACTAGCTGGGCGTGGTGGCTCGTTCCTGTAATCCCAGCTACTTAGGAGGCTGAGGCAGGAGAATTGCCTGAACCCAGGAGGCGGAGGTTGCGGTGAGCCGAGATCGCGCCATTGCACTCCAGCCTGGGTAACAAGAGCGAACTCTGTCTCAAAAAAAAAAAAAAAAAAAATAGACCAATAGTAATTGGATGCCAAAGAACATGTAAAGTGAGACCAATCATAAAACTAACCAATACTGAGCACTTTCTATGTACCAGCCATAGACCTAAGCATTTTATATGTGTCCTACTTCACATATGTACTCATTTAATCCTCACAACCCAACAAGGCAGGCTTCAACTGTTGTTCCATTTTGCAGATAAGAAAACTGAGGCACAGGGACATTATGGTCACAGTGGTTAAGTAGGACTGGAATTCAGACCCAGTCACTCTGGTTCCAGATGCCCCCCCACCTTTTTTTTTTTTTTTAAGACATAGTCTTGTTCTATTACCCAGATTGAGGCAGGAGAATTGTTAATCTCTCTACCTGCAGCCTCCGTATCCCAGATTCAAGTGATTCTCCTGCCTCAGTCTCCCGAGTAGCT